TTTTTTTTTTTATTCAAGTTTGAGCAAATCAAAAAAACACTGTTTCAATCCCAAACTGCTGGCTTGGATTATAAAATTATTCTGTTTCATTATGAGAGAGATGAGAAATTTCTAAATAAGTAAAAATGCCATAAAACATTAATCAGCTAAATGCTAACAAAAAAATAAACCAGCAGTAAAAAAAAAAAAAAAGTTTCAGAGTTATTTAAAATCACAAACTGTAAATCTGGTGAATTTTCTRTCGACTTTGTTCATAAATTCAATCTGAGCAGGTTTTTTTGCTCACATGAACAGAACAAAAGCTGCAGCCGTTAATCTGATAATCCCGGCTGTCTCCTGTGGAAATCTACCTGGAGTGAAATGTTCTCCAGCTGCTGGGAGGTTTTTATGGCTCTGAACTAATCCTCTGCCTGGAAGCCTTCATCCTGACAAGTTCTGCCTTTCAACTCATATCTCAGCTAAAAACTAAAATGAACTAAAACTGTAGAAACGAGTAGAATAGTAGCACAAAGGCTAAAACCAGTTAGACAACAGATAAAAGCTTTAGGAAAATAGCAGTACAGCAGCTAAAAGTTAGCAATCCAGTAATTTAAAATTGCAATAACAGTAGCTAAAAGGTCAAACCAGCAAAACAGTTGCTAAAAGCTAAAATTAGAAAAATAGCTAAATGTTAGTTAGCAAACCAGTAGTTTAAAACTGAAAAAAAGCTAAAATTAACGATAGCTAAAAGTTAGTTAGCAAACCAGAAATTAGAACCACTAACCAATTTTATTTTATTTTTTTCTGTTTGTTTTTGTATCTTTTTTCTGTTTTATAACTTATGCATTTGTATGTATATGTATATGTGTATGTATGTATGTATGTATATATGTATTTTTTATTTCTATTTTTATGTGTGTTGTTATTTATATTCTTTGTTAAAAAAAGTTGGAGAAGTTATGTAAGTTTTGAGAAATGTAAGTAATGTAAACTGTGTATTCTCCTGATAAATAAATTAATAAAAAAAAGAAGTTAGAACCACGTTTAGTAAAACAGTAGCTAAAAGTTAGCAAGCCAGTAATTTAAAATTGGAATAACAGTAGCTAAATGGTCAAATCAGCAAACAAATGGCTAAAATTATCAAATGAATAGCAAAATGTTACCAAATCAGCAGTTAAAACTAAAATTAGCAAAGCAGCAGCTGAAAACCAGCAAAACCATAGCTACACGTTAGTTAGCAAACCAGTAGATTAAAATTTAAAAACACTATAGCTAAAATTAACATAATGGCTAAAAGTTAGTTAGCAAGCCAGAAGGTAGAACTAATTTTAGCAAAGCAGTACCTGAAAAACATAGCTAAAAGTTAGCAAACCAGTAGTTTCAAATTAGAAAAACAATAGCTAAAAGCTAAAATCAGCAAAATAGCAGTGCAATAGCTAAATGTTGGTTAGCAAACCAGTAGTTTAAAATTAAAAAGACAATAGCTAAAATTAACATAATAGCTAAAAGTTATTTAGCAAACCAGAAGTTAGAACTGAATTTAGCAAAGCAGCAGCTGAAAACCAGCAAAATTATAGCTAAAAGTTTGTTAGCAAAGCRGTGATTTAAAATTAGAAAAACAGTAGTTAAAAGCTAGAATTAAGATTTTATTTAAAAAAAAAAAGAAGCTGAAAACTTGGGAAGCTAAAATGTCTCTAGTGTCTAAAGTTGAGTTATTTTTGCTCTCATTGATTACACGCTAAAGTTTAGGACCACGTCCAAAGCTCAAGACTGCCTACGTTTAAAATTCACGGCCACATCTAAAGTCCAGGACCACTTCTAAAGTCCAGGACCACATCTAAAGTCCAGGACCACTTCTAAAGTCCAGGACCACATCTAAAGTCCAGGACCACTTCTAAAGTCCAGGACCACATCTGAGGTTCATGGCCACACCTGAAGTCCAGGCCCACACCTGTGAGAATGAATCTTTCAGTAAAAGTAGTAGTCAGACCTCTGATCCGCCTCACAGGAACAGTTTCTGATTCTTTACGTTGACAGCRGCTTGTGTTGCAGAACGTTTTAAAAACAGAACCTGACACCGGATGAAGCTCAAACATAACCAGCAGGGAGAAAACAATCGGCTTTCTTTTGCTGCATTATTCAGTGAGGCTGCAGCTCGTTAGGCTGATCAGCTGACAGGACAATGAAACAACCAGAACTGGGCGGCCACTTCTTTGGGATCATTTGAGGGCCCATTACCCCCCCGCCGTGCTGTCCTCTGGTGGGTTGTGCCTTTGCCCGCTGGCGCACTGGTGGCTCTTGTTGTCCGGGGCTGGGTGCTTGGGCGTGTGCCGGCTCGGCCCGGTGGCTGCCCGGTARATGGTAAATGGTACTGAACTTATAGAGCGCTTTTCAAGTCCCTCCGGACCCCAAAGCGTTTTACACTAACAGACATTCACCCATTCACACTCACATTCACACACTGATGATGGCAAACTACATTGTAGCCACAGCTGCCCTGGGGCACACTGACAGAGGTGGGGCTGCCATGCATCGGCGCCACCGGACCCTCTGACCACCATCAGTAGGCAAGGTGGGTGAAGTGTCTTGCCCAAGGACACAACGACTGGGACGGCTGGACGGGGGATCGAACCAGTGACCTTCTGGTTCCAGGACGACTCCCCTAACCACTCCGCCACAGCTGCCCCAGTGGGGCTTGGGTCCCTCTGCCCCTGTCAGGCTTTGGCCTGGAGGGGTGCGCCCTGGGGGCCCGGGCCTCTGTGTCCATGCCTGGATCCACTCTGGCACATTGGGTACCGGAGGGGCCTGTGAGTTTGTCGCTGCTGGCCCCAGGGGTTGCTGTGTGTGGTCGCTGGTGGGGCTCTTCCGGTACTCTCCAGTGGTCTTCTTTGTGGGGTGGGTGGGCGGCCCTTCCGGCGAGGGTGTCTCTGGGGCTGCGCACATGGGGTCCCTCTCTGGGTCTTTGGCGCTGGTCTCCCTTATGTCGGCTTCCGGCTTTGCGGGTCGCGTCTGTGGTCCCCCACAGTCACTTTGAAACATTCCGTTGGAGAGATCATGTATATACTGTACATGCTCACAACCGCACCTAAACAGGTGTTTACATCCTGGGTTTTTTATTCAGACACTGACTGAATGATATGTGCATATGTGTGTGTATAGATATATGTATATGTGTATATGTATGAAAGTGTTTGGATATGTAGGTATGGGCATGTTTATGTGTATATGTATAAATTTATATATGTATATGGGTATGGTTTTCAGCAAGGCTACAGTCATTATAATTACATAGATATGCATTTTTGTTGCTGTGGTTTTGTTATCTTTGTTTTTGTAGGTGTGGAGCCAAGAAGTCAGGTGTGCTGTCTTGTGTTTTCTCAACATATATTTCACATTTCTTCTAATCTCTCTTTCTCATTACATTTCACTTTTTTCTTTCTCTTTCTTTTTCTCCTATTAAAATAAAGCCACTGATGATGAAGAAGCTAAGATACTAACATTCAGATATTCAGTTCTGCTTTCTACTGAAGTGGCAAAAAAAAAAAAAAAAAAAAAAAAAAAAAAAGAAACAACCAGAACTGGACCCACAACTGGAAACAAACAGAATCACAACAAATGATCAATCAGATCTGACATTTATAAAGTATTGTTTGTATCTGAATAAATGAAATAAATCAATGTTTAAAACTTTTATTTTCAGAGTATTTTTGTTTTTAAAGCTTCACAGGTCTCGCTGCAGGTGAGACTGCCTAGATCGGGTCATGCTCTGGGGTCTCCCGTTGGTCTCAGGCCCGTTTGGGTTTTTTCTATCATCTGTTGATGGTGAAGTTGGGTTTTCTTCTTCTGCAGATATCTGGTTCATGAGTCTGTTTTTCTCTGAAGCCTGATGTTCAACAGAAACTATCACAGATGTTTGTGAGCGATGGTTATGGTTTCTGGTGCCAGGCTGASTCTGGGTTTTAGCTGCCGGGTCGGCACCGTCCTCCTGTACGTCCTTGGTGGTCTGAAAAAGTTTAAATTTGTTTATAACACATTTGAACACACAGGACGGAATCAAAACCGTCAAACCGTTGTCATCTTGTGCTTATGACCTCAGAAAAACAGAATCCAGTTTCGCTAATCCGCTAATAGCAGAATTAGCTTCTCTCATGTTGCGGTTTAGCTTTGTTGCTAACTTTGGAAACTGCTAGCCAACTGATTAGCTTCCGCTAAATTAAGTTCTGCTTATTTTGAGTCCACTAAACAGTTTAAAACTTCTGTTTTTATGCCATTTATCCCAGAATAAATAAAAACGATCCCCTCTTAGCAGCCGTGATGGACGTGTCAGGCACCATGTGTAGCAAAAGTAGCATCTTTAGCAGCAAAACTTCAAGCTAAGTGAGTCCAAAATAAATAACATTTAACAATATTTAAATAACACATTTAAAAAACGTTTATGTATAAAATATGGTAGAGAAAGTATTTGCTATTGTTTGACTAACTTCAAATGATATTTGTAACAATAAAAACTTGAAACGCTTTTATTCTGAAAGGAGGAAGTTAGACAGAGCTGTGACTGGTTTGGATTGGCTGATTTGCCACAGATGATCCCGCCCACCTTCAAATTAAACCAATAGAAAACTAACAACAGGTTTGTGTCAATCTTCTCACCATGACGGTTAGCGCTAGCAGAGCTAAGATTCTTGTTTAGCGGATTAGTGGTCAGCCTAACATTTCCAAAATGTTTTGAGCTACTACTTTAAATTAGAGTTTAAGCTCATCATCTGTAACTTAATCAGACAGACGGGGGGTTTTGATTTGTTTTTAATTTAGATTTTAAGTTTCAAAATGCAGTAAGAACTTTTACTGGCTTACAAAGGATGTATTTGTACATAAATAAACAAATTTTTAATTAGCAGTGTTACAGTAGCAGTAGAGGAAACAGAGGACTGTAATTTTAGCTCGCTACACTTGATTCATCAAAGATCTTTCTCTCCTGACAGGAACACGTGTTTAAAGACACCCTGATTATTTGGCTAACGCTCGAAGCAGCAGAACACAAACAGGTTTTAGCCTGAATGAAAATCAGAAGCACTTMATGTCCCATTATTAGACGAACCACATGCAGCTGCTCTGCTCAGATTGATTTTCATTCTTATATATTTCCTCAGAGAGCAGAGATGGAGCTCATTTCCACCGGCTCTCCATCGGGACACCAGCACTCCACCACAGCTCAGGTTACTCAGAAARAAAAAAAAAAAACGACATTATTCTTAGCTCAGAGTGTTTTTCCTTTTCCCTTTTGTCTTAAATCTCAACAATCTGAGCTATTGTCAAAACTCTGAGTCAGCATTCACGCTGTTGTTTTCCTGTCAAAACATTCAACTCATTCAGGAAACGGCTTCTGTGACTTTTAGCTTCTTTAATTTTTTACTGTTTAAAGTATCTAACTGAATTTATTTTCCCCACTGAAATAAATTAAGATTCATTAGCTGTTGTTTTTGACTTTTGATCATTTTAGTCTTTAGCTAGAACTTTGATACTTTTAGCATTTAGCTAGCCTTTTGCTAATCAAGCTATTAGCTAGTCTTGACAGTTTAGCTTTTAACTAGTCTTTTGACTATTTTTCTTTTAGCTAGCATTAGTGCCACTTTTAGTTTTTAGTTAGCCATTGGCTAATATAGCTTCAAAGTAGCCTTTTGCTCATTTAGCATTTAACGCGCTAATTGCTATCTCGGCTTTTGACTGACTTTTTGCATCTTTTGGCTTTTAGCTAGCATTTGTGCTGCTTTTAGTTAGCCTTATGTTCATTCAGCTTTTAGCTAATATTTTGCTAATTTAGATTTTAGCTAGTCTTTTGCCTTTTTTTGCTTCTAGGTAGCATTAGTCYTGCTTTTAACTTTTAACTATCCCTTGGTTAATTTACCTCTTAATCAGCTTTTTGCTCATTTAGCTTTTAACTATAGTTTTTGCTATTGTGGCTTATGGCTAGCTTTTTTGCCTCTTTGGTTTTTAGCTATCATCAATGTCACATCCCTTGGTTAATTTAGTTTTTGGCGAGCCTTTTGCTAATTTAGCTTTAAGGTAGCAATTTTAATTTGCATTTTAGCTAACCTTTTGCTAATTTGGCTTATTATTCTTTTGCCTTGTTTTGTTTTTAGCTAGCAGTAGGACATCTTTTAGCTAGTTTTTTGCCTCTTTGCATTTAGTTAGCATTAGTGCTGCTTTTAGGTTTTATTTATCCTTTGGTTAATTTAGCTATTGGCCACTCTTTTGCTAATGTAGCATTTAACTATAGTCTTTTGCCTATTTTGGCTTTAAGCTAGCATTAGTGCTACTTTYATCTTTTAACTACCACTTGGTTAATTTAGCTTTTGACTAGTCTTGTCTGTTTTTGCTTTTAGCTAGCAGTTTGGCTGTTTTTTGCTAGCCTTTTGATAATTTAGCTTTTAGCTAGTCTTTTGCTTCTTTTTTATTTAGTTAGCATCATTGCTACTTTTTGCTCCTCCAGCTCTTAGTACCAACAGTCTTTCAGTCTAAAACCTGTTATCCAAACAGTAGAAACAATCATAAACAGATTTTTATTGTTTTTAAAAGGTTTTGGTTATTTTTAGATCTTTATTTCTGATTCTCAGATCTGTTCCTGTTTGTATTTTATTACAGTAAATAATTTACAGCTGCTGCTCTCTAAATGTCCTTTAAACAACCCTTGAAGCTCCCACCTTGTGAAAACAATCTGAGGAGAGCTTGTGTAAATATAAAACAGGCCGAAGGCGAGCTGAAACAACAGTGGGCCTGAGGTGTGTGGACCTGACCTGCTCGCCCACTCCTCCTCGCTGTGATTTGGCACTTTGCTGTGGCCAGAAGCCCCAGGTCCTGAGCCTGCTGAGGCCCTCTGCGGAGCGGGCCGTGGGGTTGATGCGCCGAGCCGGGGTACGAGTGGGTAGATCCCAGGTCCCCTTAAAGTCTGGCCAGGCACTGCCTTTCTGTAGCCAAACAAAAGAGAGCGAGGGACGTGAAGATTTGCAGACGKGCTGCTTTAAATAAAGGGAAATGAGCAGACGTGATGCTCAGACCTTCACGCCTGGGAGAAGATGTCCTCTGTCATCTGCAATGAAGGTGTGGCTCCGACGGGCGGAGGGTCTCTACGAACACAAACACAGATTTACACCACTATAAAATAACATATTACTGCTGACAGGACATCAAATACCTCTTTWAAGTGTTTCGCTTCACACCAGTTCTGCAGCCTCTGTGCTCTGAAGGCGCTGTCATACTAAAAAAACAAAACAAAACAAAAAAACAAAGATAAAAATAAATCATAACAAAACTTTCATCAGTGCAGTCAGAAAATGCTAGTTACCTGATTTGCTGAGAAACTGGACGCCATTTCTGCATCTGCAGCAACCTCTGACTTTGTTGTGTTTAATATTTATTTAGTGTGTAAACCAATCTGGCTGTGTTGTTGACCGGTTGCGTAGCAACAAAATCAAAGCGCTGCTGCAGTTTCAGTCACCTAGAAAACAAAACAAAAAAAACTTGTGTTTTTTTTTTTTATTAAATGCACAGTTCATAACAGTAACACAAGTCGCAATGGAAAAATGCTAAAATATTTAGATTTTAGTTTTGCTTTAAACTTCCGTTAGACTTTCACTTGTAACCGGAAGTTTATTTTTCGGCGCTAAAAACACCATCYTTAGACATAAAGCGTCTTTTAAAAACTTCCATTTAAGTTTTATGCCAGTGTAAATTAAAAATATTTTTA